TAAATTGAGAAAAGTATCGAGTATGTACTTGGATTTACTTGTATCGATTTATCCCTACCAATAATGCGTTGCATATGTATTCTCGTGCCTATGATTTAATGATGCAGCGGCGTGATCAACTCTAATCTTCTATCTTCAAGTAAAAAATAAACGACTGAACTGCCTTTATTCCTCTTGAGATCATCCACTAGAAACGCATATTATTTTGGCTTTCTTAAAGTCTTGAAGAAATGCTTTCTTCGATATCCTAAATATGATTGCTAACTAACAATTTTGGGAAAATAGTTACTATAAAATGACCTTTAATGTGTATTCTTATTCCCTTGCAAATATGTATGCCTTTTAATAAAGAATACGCTTGACTCGAATTGAAAGTCTCTCGTCATGTTTAATTAGTCAATCGCCTACATACACATATATATCTGTATGTAAATATGTTTTTATATGTATGCACAGCAACAAACTATTTTGGTTGCCCATGTTTTCACATAATTTTCCTTTAAACAGTCTCGCTACGCTTTTCCTTTATTTGTTTTTACCATTAAAAAGTTTCATGCCGCACGCGAACATAAATTGAGTTAAACTTAACAACCACAATAACAAAGAAAATTATGCCAATCAACATAATATCCTTTTGTTTTATTTTTTGCAACATGCATACATATATACATTCATAATAATTTAAATAGTAAGTGCCGATAAAATATTTTGATAATTGGAAATTGTTTATCAAATGGAGCAATGTAAAAAGGGAAATTGGAGTAAAAATAAAAAAAAACTCTCCAAATATTGGCGCTCACATTTTTGTTATGTGTTGAACTGAGCTTCTCCAATTCTCGGTGTTAGTATTGATGTTATTACACAAATGAAGGTAGCTAGAGTCTTACGCCGACTTCGAAACGCTAATGGCTTTTATGAGAAGTTTTTTCATGCAAGAATTACACTCCGAGGTGGCCATTGCCTGCCGACCGCTAATAGAAAAAATTATTTTATCTGTCAAGGTCCTACCGGGTCGAAGTCAGCACCTCTAATCATTCGGCTAGCGAGTACGGCATATGTGCGTCCTTAAATGAAAGGAAAGAAACGCAAAGCGGATGGCTTGCCTACCACAGACCGCGGTTAGACGTAAACTTGTTCCATAGTTAACAAGGAGTCTTTCGCAGAGATCTGTCTATCGAATAAGTAGGCGTGCCAGCAATAGGTTTTATTTATACCATTCGCTCGTCGCCTCGATACGGCATCACACTCAAGGAGCGGTGTCTCTTTCGTTGAGTCGTAAACACGACAGCGAACATTCCCAGACCAGATTCCCAATTTATGTAGATGTCCTCTTGGCCTGCAGTGCCCCGTGATGATGCCTGTAATGATCCTTAGTTTCACTTTAGTGAGGTTAATTAGAAATTTGTATCTTATAAGATTGTACTCCCAGTAAGCTTTTGGCTTGGCGAAGTCCTGTTGTATTATGCCAGTGTCGTTTCTCTCCTATTTATTGTTCCTTTCCTGGGCTCTTTTTTAATCATGTTTGGGCCTATTACAAGGAATGGCTCGCTGCCTATTTGAGCTAAGGGCGCCGCTATCCTAGCTAAACCGCTAGTAATCACAGTAGCTGGATTTTGTTGTGTTCAGCAAACCCATTGAGGTTCTCAATGCACTCAAGGATTAGAGATAATTTAACCTCAATTAGTTGCCTGACTGTCGCTAGGGATTAGAATTCTTTCATTGCGATAACCTCTACGTAAAATAATCTCTGCATATCAATTGATGGACTTCCGTTTAGAAGATGGACTAATTTTGGGGCCGTAAATACCTGTTCCAATGTCTTCTAGGGTTTTGGAGTTTTCAGTGTACCACTGCAAGGTGCTGGCCAGTGCATGCACCTCCATAACGGATTACTGCAGAGAAAAAGGGCTGATGGGAGCTGGGAGCGGAGCTTCTACATATTCCAAGTCGAAAGGACGTTACCTCTACCTTTAATGACAGTATTCCCAATTTTACATGCCCGCGACTGTGACATCACTTCATAAACGAATCAGGAAGAAGAAAGAGGGAAAACCTAGCACCGACCGCCATTTCAAAAAAATAATGAGAGTTGTGTTCACCTTCTTTTCCGACAGAAAATGAAGAAGTAAAGAAAAATTTAAGAAACGCTTAGCAAGAATAAATTAGACTCATGTATTCATGGCTTTTTTTGTATGGTAAAAAAGTTGTACTTGCAAAAACTACCTTTAATTAACACACGCCCCTTAAGATTACTGTTAGATCAAGACATAATAAACCGGCCGGAAATTCTCTAGGCGAGCCCCGGATTCCGTCTAGAGCCTGGCGGTATTTCCGTAACTGAGATTTTCTCGACAGTGCCAAAACAGGTTCTGGAAATCCCTTCTACAGATAATCAATTCCGTCGCTTTATAGATTTTCTTAACAATTTCCTCACCCAATGGAATCTGGGCAGGCCCTCGCATACAAAAATTAATCAGAGATAATCCCTTCTGATGCTGAACAGATTCTCCCAACAAAGGTTGCCTGGACTGGCACTACCACGCAATAGGCATCATGCTTAAAAAGCGAGCTTAAGCTCAGACTCATTTTTTGCACCATCCAAGTGAGCTGTGGTGTAGTGGTAAGCAGTGCGCGCTTCCACTCATCAACACCTGGGTTCAAGCCCTGGTCAAAGCAACATCCCAAAAAAATATTGAAAAAAGGTTTTTTCTTAACAGCGGTCGTCCCTCGGCAGGCAATGGCAAACCTCCGAGTGTATTTCTGCCATGAAAAACAGTTTCTCATAAAAATACAATCGCCATTCGGAGTCGGCGTAAAACTGTAGGTCCCTCCGCTTTGTGTGACAATATCAAAGTGCACGCCACAAATTTGAGGAGAAGCTCGGCCAAACGCTAACATATGTGTAAGCGCCAATCTATTATTATTATTAAGTGAGCTCAAACTCAAGAATTTGTACTGAAAATCGAGACAGATTTTCTTTAGTGCGTTGACATTGGCTGTGCCAGGACAGTGTCTGTTATGCGACAGCCTTAAAAAAGTTCATCTTCTTAGAGCCTGGAGGTAATCACTTTTGGTGTTGGGAAGATTTCCTTGACTGAGAAACTTTTTAGCAGTGCCTGGACTGGCTGTATCCTACAAAAACATACCTGGAGTAACCAATCCTGATTCTGTGTAATTTCTCAATGTCAATGGCAAAATAAATGCAAATTATATTGTTGTGTTTCAAAAAATTTATACAAATTGTGTAATTACGCGTGTAAAGATGTATTTATGTAGAAGAGCTGCACTTCACACATTTTTATTAAATTTAAAAAAGTACGCCACTTGACATACTCATGCAAGTGTGTGCATATATGTATGTACATAAGTATGTATGTACATATACATATATGAACGTAAATTAATTAAGATCTTCTTCCTGGCATTTGTTTGATAATTCAATTATGCATTTTAGCTGCCGCCTAAAAGTGCACTAAAGTTCATATAATCCTCACTTAACCGCTACAACGTGAAGCTAATTATGCAATTCAAGTTTTTTAAACCAAGCCAAACACGCGCTCACATACATGCATTCACAATACAAACGTACACATATGTAAGGCAAAAAAATGAATGCATTAAATTGCAGGCTATTAAAATCATAAACTATTGTTAACTCTAATTTAATTGTGCGAAGCGTCAAAGCGTTGCATTGGCTAGTGAACTCACAAGAGAATTGTTGCGCTGCGTGTTCTCGGCACGGGAGCACACAATGGATTTGTACCAAGGTTAGGACTCCACTACGATCGTAGTAGATTTACTATGATTTTTGAGGAAAATTTCAAATTTACAACGCTACTCTGCTTTATCCACGATCTACTACGTTTTTTATGTCTTGCTTTTTAAAACTTGCAAATGCATTTTGTTTCAATAAAAGTATGCAACTCTGATTATTCTTAATGTATGATACAAATAATTTATTCAAGAAAATTTAACTAAATTTTGGTACGAGTATTACTCTGTATATTTGTAAAAAAAAAAAACATATTGTTTCGAAACGGAACAACTATCATAATTTCTTCTCTGTATTAATGATTGGAAGGTAATTTTAAGGATTAGTTTTGCCACTCGTTCCGTTATATTATACTACACTTGTTTGTAATAGATAGATGACATCATCATCCAACATTAATTTGGTTCTATATTTCGGTCGACGAAGGATTATCTTACACCGACACATAAAAAAAATTGTCTCTGTATTTAAAAAAAAAGTATAGTTGCACGGACACAATTGAAAGATATTGGGCCGTATGCATAAAACCTAAGCAAATGCTTTTTCTTAGAACTTCAGACCTTTTACTTGAGTTCAAATAAAATAAAGTGAAAGGTATGAAATTTTAAGAAAAAGCAATTGCTTAGTTTTTATGCATACGGCCAATCGTTATGAATTTTTTTATAATATGAAAACCAATATCTTTGAATTATGACCAGAAAACTAGGGATATAAAAAAATCTACTACAGTTTGGTTTTCTGCTCCGACTTTTCACCCCATTTACGCCGATTTTGGCTTGCCGTAGTTCTAACCCTTATTTGTAGCACGTGTGTATGGCAAACAGATGAATGTCGTTTCTCTTTTTTTAGAGCAATTACTGTAATTATTGCATATAAAAATTGCTTTTTTCATACGTAATTGCTTGCCTATAGAAAAAGTATGTTAAGTTTGCAGCAACGTAATGGTAATAGGATAAGGGTATAATGAAGTGCTGACATGTGTGTGTTTTAGTGGGAGTCTGTCACAATAAATAATTTGACGTAGGCAAAATCAAATATTCAGTATTTAGTTTTGGAAGTGAAAAAAATTTAGTATCTATAATTACATTTCAGGGCAAATAATAATATTACTTTAGCCTACAAATAACAAACAAAAAAAAATTTTAAATATTCTATGCCTCTATGCTAAGTACCTTCGCACAATTTGCCACTTTCTGCTGTTGCAATTATGTAAATGGCATTCTTTTAGGGTCCAATTTATAATAACGTGGCTCGGCCAGTCCGTCAAAATTCACCTCAACCCTACCAACAGCAACAACAACAACAACCACTACAACAAGTTTATCAACAATCCCCAACACAACAGCAAAACCAATCACCATACCAACAACACTATGAACCAACCCAACAGCCCATACAATACACTCAAGCCCAATTTAATCGCCAGCCTTCACGTGAGCCTTCTGCTCCACAACACGGACAGCACGTAAATGAACCCTATGAACAACAGCACCAACAACAACAACAACCGGTACAACAGTATCAAAACCAACCCCAAAATTATCCTCATGATCAGCAATATCCGCAACAACCACAAGAACAACAATATGAACCTAATTCCGCATCTGGTTGGAAACCAATTCGTGCCCCAGTGGCAAAAGCTCATAGCGAATTTCGTGCAAGCCCTGTGAATGACGGTAACGCTGAGCCATTTTATCCGAGCTATGGTCAACAACAGCAACACCAACAACAGCTAGCTCCTCAGGTACAGCCACAAGTGTGCCTAAGTAGATAGTACATACATACATACTTACTTATGTATAAATTAAATACGCACGTGAATTATGTATTTTAGTAGTAGAACGCCGTTGCTTTACTTTCACTTTCCTATTAGTTAAGCTGCCTCGTATAAATGCAGTCGCTAGCCTTGGCAAATTACTTTTGTCGCCAGGTAAAAGCTCAAAGCGCCCTGCACTGATTACGCAAACAAGCTTTATTAGTAGTAATATGTAGTACATGTGCAAGTAGTTTTAAAAATATTAGCTAAAATACATAAAAGTAAAATATTCCCACGAAAGTCCATTTGAGTGTAGAGCAGTTGATTATTAGAAGCTTAAGGTATGGCTTAAGTGCGAGTGACTAAATTGCGAGCTTAGCAGGTCGATGATGCAGGCTTGCGAAGTATAAATTTGGACTTTGTCCTGCTTTCAGTTTTGACTCGTATAAATCGAATTTCTCGTAAAAAATTGCATGTTAATCTTAATTGCAGATCATTTACATAAGGCGGCAACAGTAGCACTGTTTAAAGGCCTCACTTCCTCCATAGTGTTTTTACTATTTTTTGTTACAACGCAACAATTACATGAAATCTGAGTTGAAAAATATTGTAGCTACGATCTTTCCAGCGGTTTGCGCCATCCTCAACTTAGGCAGTGCTTCATCTTTCGTATGCTACTGTAGATATAGACCAAGACCGATAGAATACAAGATTGCGTTGATTGATGTGAAGTTCGAGAGAATAACGTGAATATGACGTCATCGCAGGTTTGCCGGTGGCGAGAGCTGAGAGAGATCTCTCAGTATGTATATGTTTTGTATACGTATATGTATATGTATATTACAGAGGCAATACATAAATCACGATACAAAAGGTTTCTCTCCAATTAACTTATTTATTCGGCGACATTTGATACCTTAATGAATCGATTTGACTAAAACTAATGCAGAATATAAAGGTATTGAGTCAAAAAGTAGTATTTACTAGCTAAAATCCCCTACACTTTCCTTAATTTCACCAATCCTCGAACTTGGTTGTCCTCCTCTCGTACAAAAAAGGTTTTAATTAAGTAAAATCGCCTAAAAACTGGTAAGATAGGCCTAGAGATAGGCGCCACTTTCACTTAGTGATAGATATCGGGATCCGCGCACAATGGCCGAAGGGACTTTGTTTTACGCGAAAAAGATATATTTGAAAATTGTGACAAATTAGCTGAAACAGTGTCATTCCTATTCAGAACTGTCAAACGAAAAAGTATTTGCTGAGCAAGCCGTTGAACCCGTTTAATTCAACGAATACGATCGTTTTATGTTCGAAGGCGTTTTTAACAATTTTTTTATAGAAACTTTCAATTATGAGTACAATAAAAAATTAATCAAGTATTTGAACAATTTTAGCCTTAAAAAGTTTATTTAGTCGAAAAAGTGCCGAAATACTCACTATTTCTTTGTCACTCGGAAAAATCGTATTTTTTTTAAATAACTTTGGAAATTTTTCACGTAGAATATTCATATTAGAGGCAATGAACGTTGGCATCAAATACAACATATTTGTGAAGTTTCAAGAGGGCGCCATCAAAATTGAAAAAATATTTTCGTAATTTTTAAAGTTCACGATTTTAATTTCAATAATTTAAGATACTTCAAAATATTGAAACTAAACGGTGAAAATTTTCTTCTTGCTAGTGTAATAAAAGTAATGTGCCACCAAATGAAAAATAATTACATTGAGTAAGAGATGACTATGATTTGAGAAACTAGAATTCCATTTTTTTAATTTTTATTTGCACACTCAAAATTCATTCTAAAATTGTTATATATATGAACAAAGTAATATATCTGTGCATAAGGAATACTGTGTAGAAATCTTCCGCGCCAATCTTTACTAACTTTTAAATTATATGCCTTTTAAGATACGGCGTGCGAGTAAACGTGTTAAATGACTGCATATGGTGCTACGGGGCATATACGTAACATACACAACTACGGGTATATGAGCACGGGTGGTTATTTTTAGTTTTTTTAGTATATTTTCTTAAGATTTTATTTAAATACAATTTCGCGATGGAATCGTATTCTTTACGCAAAACGGAAGACAATGCATTGCCTAAGATAAGTGTACCACCATTTTCGAACATAAACACGTTTTTGTCGAAAAATGTAGCAACTCGTGAGATGTACTCATACATATGTGCGTTATGCGTAATTTTACATAAATTATTATTTTTTAATTTTTGAGAGTAGAGAAAATTTTGTAGCACATATTTGTTTAATGGAATGGTTTTTGCATTTTAAGAGTTTTCAAAAATCTTCTCTAGGCAATATTTATGCAGAATGTAAATAACTATTGTAACTATATATGTGCTTAGGTTAATAAGTGGGTAAATAAGTACTACAAACAAAGAACTCACATACTTGTATGTAGATTTTACGTTGACAAAGTATACATACTAACTTTTATATACTTAGTTTATACTTAACTGCACATACTTACTTTCAAAAAAAGTGCATTCTGTATATAAACATGTAAATATTAGTTCACGAGCTTTAAATAATTACTTAAATGCTGAATCGCATTGCACATTCACACATATATACATATATACATATATACATATAAACATAATTACTTACTTACAATCATACATCCACAACTTGTAAATATAACTTTTCATTATTTCTGATCCAATAAAGTTCTAATCATAGCTAACAAAAGCTTTTCTTTTTTATATCTCGCAAATTTCAGCTTACAAAACGCACATAAGCTCGCGCTGTTTACTCTACTTACAAACTTACATACATACATATTTACTAAGTTTTCTGCACCCTCTATCACATAAGTGCACAAACACTTTTCTAGTAAAATGTCTTAATTGTATCCTATTAATTGAAAATCTCATACAAATACAAAAATTTAACAAAACTTAGCTCCTCACACATTTTTGACTTTCTAATTGTTGTGTTTTCGTCTTTTCTCTTTCTCCCCACAACTATTTTGGACACTCACGCACTCTACCTCACACACTGTTCCAATCTATGTATGTTTGTTTATGTATTATGGTCCGTTGCATAATTATATATGTACGCACAAAAAACAACATAACCTCAAAATCTATAAAAAAAACGCACGCAACAATAAATCCCCTCAACCTTTATAAACGACAAACGACAACCGATACGAACCACGATGTTTTTTTACCAAAAATGGTGGCTTTAAATTTCAAACGAATTGAAAAACGAACACAAAATAGTATCGTGCCACATCATACGATCAATATCAACCTCAACCTCAACAATATCAGCCACATCAGGGCTCACAGCCTCCTTATAGCCAACAGCCCTACTATCAGCCGCCGCAGCAGCAGCCATCTTGGGCGCATAATCAGCCAATTCAGCAATATCAGACAGTGCAGGCGCCTTATCAACAGGCACCGTCTCAACAACAACAACAATATCAAGCGCCTCCTCCATCTAATTATCAATCGCAACCATATCATCAACAACAATATCAAGCACCTCCTCAACATCAACAACCACAACCCCAGCAATATTCGAATGTGCCACAATCCAATCAATATAATTCTTATTCACAGCCTCAACAACAACAACAACAACAACCACCCGTTGGCCAAGATCAGCCCGATCGTCGTACACCGGCTCAACAACAACCTCTGCCACAAGATTATCGCGGCGGCAGTCCTGGAATAATTACGTTGCGCAAGGAGGCGCCTGTAACGCAGAGGCCAGCACCGGTTTACAACTCACAACCAGCGGCCGTTAGCTTTCAAGGTAACCTGACCATTAATTTACTTACCAAACGCAATCGGCTAATTTTTTTTCTTTGTTTTGTTTCCACTAGGAGGCACCAACATGCGCGGTGACTTGAAGTGGCCACCACCGGAATACAAGGAAGCCGCGGTGCGGGAAAACGAAGAACGCCGCAAATTGGCTTTGGGACCGGTATGCCGCCCACGGAAAGTCAATCGCGTAAGTTTGTACCCTTATTATAAACTAGTAAAAAATTAAAAAAAAAATATCGACAATACGAGCCCTATTTAAAAAAAGAACTGTATATTGGTATAAATATATTTTTTTAAGTTTTTCAAAGCTGGCACTGGATGGCCGGCAGATTTTGGCTCAGGCGGTCTACGGTGGCTCAGGAAATTTTGAATCGTTTACTTCTATCTCTCATCCCGAACACCTATTCATATATGACTTCTTCATATACGCCATCATTGCAGGATTGTCCGATTGTTGCGGATTTGTTAAACATCAAAATTTCTTTAATTCGTTTCTTATTTAGTGTCGGTCGTAAGATCCTGGAAACTTCACAGTTGTATCGGGTATTCCATGCGCCATTTGCTACGACTGTGCTATACTCGGTGTTTGTAAGGAGTCATCTTCCTCGCTGGTTTTCATTTTCGAACCTTTTTTAGGAATCTCATCGGCTATTGCAATGCGACATTTCCGAACTATCTGTGATTTAACTACTTTGTATCCTAACATTTTCAATGGCACTTGGCTGTCTTTGAATATATTAATTTTCCCTGTTAGAAACTTTCTATTCCGTTGAGACAAGCAGCAATCTTCTCTATGGCGCAAATGTCTCCGAATAGCGACCCTTGCCAACCGTCTTTTTCCATCACAATTTCCCATCGGTAGACCAGTATTCCATCCCTTTCCAGTTGCATATCCAATAGGAGTCCTGAATGAGGAGCATGCGAGGATCTGTGTACTTCCGTTTATTTTTTGATTAATACTTTTATCCAGCGCTTTCCACCAAGCTAGAATTATGATCTGTCAGAAGACTATGGTGCACATACCGTTAATGACATGAGTTGACAGTCCCCAGCTTTTCTCAAATCCTATTACTTATACGTTGCTTTTTGTCTCCTCAATATACGCATTCAAGTAATTTTGGAGCCAAGGATAACGTAAAAGTCTTAGCCTCCGATGAAAGGTTCAAGTAAGTTACATCTGGTCTTACTATAGAAAATTCAGGGATCGTTATTTTTCTTATACACAAGGCAGGTTAAGTTTTGGAAGGGAGAACTCCGCGCCTATCTTATCTGGTCTGTGGTGAATTAACCCGGTCTAAAGCCACACTTATAAAGCCCAACCAATTCCTTTTAACCTCCCACACATTACGCTCGATAAAACCTTATATTCGATGTTCAGCAGTCTGATCCCGAGGTGGTTTGGCCCACATGGCAGGATCGCCTTTCTTGTGCACACTTAAAGTGAAGTCGTTAGCCATGCATTCAAGCGACCATTTTCTTCAAATTAGTTCATGCACGCACCATAACAACTCCCGCCGTACTTAAAATAATTTTCCCTCCGTAATTTAAGTATGTTCTGCACACCGGTAACTAGGTAACCATGGCTGTTCTAACAGGAGTTTGTCTTGGTTTTAAACCCTTCCTTAATTCGCACAACTCTCTGGTAAAGTTTTCGGGCGTTTTTCCTCTCACCAACGTCTCAATCTCTGCGCAGTCCCGTATTTCGGCCTCCCTCTTCTTATTACGGCAAATCCATCTCGCTTCGAGTCACCTTCCCTTTCAAGAATGCTTGCATTCCAGGTGCATACCCTCAAATCATAATCCATTGAACGTTTGCCGGGTCGTCATCAAGAGAAAAGGGCAAAATTTTGTTTTTACTTTTTGGGTCTCAGTATCAAAGCCAGTTTCATGTGAGGATGAGACAAAATATACTAGGGTTCTTAGGCATTATTTAGGGGTTTCGTCTCTTTGAACATACATAGTCCGATGTCTGGACCTTGACAATCTTATTGAGGTAACTTATCAGCAGCACTACTTGTCGACAGCTAAAATAGACGACATTTTCTTATATACGTAGGATCACCCAAGGGAGGGATTTCAGGTTTAAGAATCCACCATCACCTATCCCTAAAATGGTGAAATACAAAAATACAACTTTTGATGACATTTTCAAATCATCAAATATTTTGAAAGTTCGAAAATTTTATGAATTCTTCATGATCTGGTTAAAATATGCTTTTTTATGAATACTGAAGATACTTTTGATGTGTGAAATTTTTTGAAATTTATCAATTTATGTTCTTTGAAACTTATAAGTTCAGAAATATGATCGAGAGGATTAAGATATGGGGGCAGTCTACCAACTTTCGTGGCTGAACCAGAAACAATATTTGAAAAATCTGTGACTTGCTCTTAACAATTTTTCTTTTAATTGCTATAAATACTAATCAGATCCAGTTATGTATTTATAAAACTCATATTTTACTATTTAAAATACTAGTAAATAACATTATCTTGATCGATCTTTCTACAGGACTATACATCGTTCTTTTCTAAAAATGCACTGAACAGCTACTATCCCAGCTACAAAGTACCACCAGGTACACAGCATATGTTGGCCTAAAAAATATGGAATACACAGCTGGAATGAAAGACCCTGCAAGCAAAGGAAAAACACAAATAAAACAAAATAAAAAATATATTACAATGAAAAAATACCACAAAAAAATATATGAAAGAGAGAAAAATAACGAACAAAAAAATGTTACTAATTGTACATTTTAACGAAATGAAAGAAACATCAACTAATCACGAACTAACCAAAAATAAAGCCCTCAATGGGTAGATAACAAATTATAGAATTTTATTTATTATTTACTTATATTAATTATGAAGCATAAAAAATTAAAAAAAAAACTACGCCAAATATAAACTAACGAATTTTGTTCTCAAATCTGTACATTATGAAACAAGGAGACGAAAGAAGAAAAAAATAGATCCCTTAAGGAATAAACCCAATGCTATGGAGTGAGTAGAAATCTCAGAGGAGCTCTACGGCTGTACGGCTGTGCTCAACGAAGCTGGGGTACGTTAAAAACTGCAAATTGATACACGGTACTTGACACCTACAACAACTACGCGTGCCACGGATTCAATGAAACACAAGCTGTAATAGCGGTAATGAACTGCCATTGCACTTTTATTTTGTATAGTTAAAAAGTTTTTATTATTTAAAATGTTTTTATTTCTTCCTTTTTTATTTTACAACACGAATGTGGTGAATTTTTTGGATTGCCAGCATTTACATGTACGAAAGTAAGTTTAATGCTGGCGGAAAAAATTGAAATTTTTTTTAAACTTAGATATAGGAAAAACCAAACGACGTCCACTCGATGTAAATTAGTTTTGTATACATAAATACTTGGAAGCTTGCGGAGGTGAGTACGCTCACTTTTGTAGGTGAAAAACGTACAAGCGCGTTCTTGCAAAATCGGAACGCAAAAAAAATGAGTTTTCAAATTCAAATTTTTAATTCAGCTGGTACTCTTAATACCAATTAAAACTCGAAAGAGGAAAATATCACAACTTTAAACTGAAAACTAAAGAAATTTAAAAAAAATAAAATCTTTGTTGCGAACTTTGGCTTACCGAACTATGGTTTTAAGTGATTTTGACACAACGGATAATTTTTTAATGCTAACAACTTCTTGGAAAAGTAAAACCCTCTGAAGTTGTGTTTTACTTTGTTTTTTTTTTTTTTTAATTTGGTTCATGGTTTAATAAAATGTGAAAATATTTTATTTATTTTAATTTTAAACTTGTTATTGCATAATGAAAAAAAAATCTAAAAAAAAAATATAATAAATAATAATTAATATATTAAAAAATATATTGAATATTAGTTTTCTCCATTTATTATTAAGTAAAAAGAGCATACCTAGTAACTAGTAAAAGCAGCCGGTTCGACGAACAGCACCAGGTTGCCAACTTTAGTTCTTAAGCGTATTAAAGAAATAGAAAAAAAAAAAACATACTATACACATATGAATGTGTACATATATAGGGAAGCATATTCACAGGAGCAGCGTAAACTTACGCACGAGCTTTCACTTCTGCTTCTGTGTGTTTACAAACACTAAGCTATATTTACATATAAATACACAAAAATGTGAAAGCTATGTAACAATTTAGCTTATATACATACATAGCTATTGGATGCTATTAAGAAATATACTCAAACAATTAAACATCACCCAAAATTGAGCAAAAAAATTTTGAGCGAAAAAATATTTAGTTAGACAAAAAAAAACTTTGTCGGCACACTCATTGCATTAACGCCTTTTGTGCCTTTTGGCGTGGCTACCTACGGCAGGTGAGCGTACGCCCTGCAGACTGTAACTTTTTAACACCGAGGATGCCATTATAGCCTTTAGGGCCCGCCAGCTTGCCTTAAGTTTGCTACGCCCGATCGCACTTTTGAGCGTCTATACTGAACATGTAAATGAAATAAAGAATTTATAATATATTTTTTTTTTTCATAAATCCAACAATCTCACATACATATATATATTCAAATATGCACATCTTATGTGTGTATTTGTATTTTATAGTATGCACTCGAAACGAACTACCGGCAAATTCGTACTGGCTTTACGACTCGATTATGACAAAAAATATTTAATATTACTTTATTGCGAAAAACAAACATACATACATAAGTATGTATGAGAACACATAGCGAATGATTTATCTACATCCCCAAATCATTCAATATGAAAAACACGGAAAATCTCTAAAAAAAAAACAAAACAAATCAACGCACCAAATATGCGATAATCATAAAACTGTAAACACTATTACCCCAAAAATATACTTAAATAATATCAAATTGGTACTTTTAAACTTTGTAAAATTTGTTTCATAAAATATTTATAAAAATACAAAATAAAAATACAAAAAAATATATTACCTACATGAAAACTCATTAAACACTCTGTGGAGCATTGCTAATTTTGAAATCCTCTATTCTGAATTGCAATGCTTTGCAACACTGGCATAAATAACACCTAATTGCTTTTTAATAAACTTTAATTATCTGAATTCTCCACTTAACTGTACATTATAAACGATGTGATTAGTTGATGGATTAAGAAAGTACATAAATACATTAGCTTAAAATTCGATGAAGTTGAATAAATGTAAATTTGTACATCTCTCTGACCAACCGGAGAAATAAAAAATTATTTGCTTTTATTGTACATACATATATGGAATTGTTTAGTAGGTAAGTACGTTTGTATAGTGCATTTCGTAACTATAGCACATCGCCATTAAAACCGAATTAAATGCCTTATAAATGCAAACTGAAAACCAAATGCAATCTTTCATTACTCCCTATTCAAGTCATGGGTGATGCCAGCGAAGACGACCCCATGGACTTTAAGACAGTGATATGGTATTACAAGACTACATTTGTGGTTAAAAGTTATAAGCCCTCAAAGAAATGCGTATTGGATGTCCCAACATTTTTAACGTAACATACAAATAATAATAAAAAAATCCCGTTAATAAAAACACTAGCCAATTCCCGGTTACTTCGCGACGCTTGAAAAGAATTTTCGCGTTTGCCATTGCAAAAATAGCGTTGAAAGACAAAAGGGTTTGTAAAGTAAACGTTCTCAGTTTAGTTTGAAATGACTAAAGAGCCGAACCCTGCTCACATATGGGCCAAGAATAGTGGCCTCTGATACCATATGGAATACTAATCCATTTGGATGTCATGTCATTGGAGCTTTACCGATGGCCTTACTTCCGCCAGTGATATTTCTGTCAGACGTGCTTAATCTTCTTCTATGATCTTGTAATACAACATTGGTCTGATGATTCAACCTCCAGTCTTATGTCATGTAAGACAATAAAAACCCTTATAAGGACCCCCGCGGTTTCACACGATGAACAATTTTCCCTATTAGAAAGCAGGGTTATATAAAATGATTGAATGAATGGCACCGAAAAAACATATACCCGCTTTTTTTAATAAAAAAATATTTATAGGTCGCTAAAAGCGCTCTAAGTTTTATATGCATTTTACATGGGGAAAAACAAGGTTTCGTAGAAATGGTATAAAGTTCTTGGAAAATCAGTATTTTTTATCGGGAAACGTTGCTTCTCTTTAAGATACTGCCAATAATAATACCCCATTTTTTATTTTACCATAATTAAATACAAGCGATTTTTTATGGATCCCCATTAAATTTTTTAGGGTTTGAGGGGTCCTATAAGAAATAGTTAAAAATATAGAAAATGGTTAAATAAACAATTGGATAATATTATTGAAAACCTCCAAAACAGAAACAAAGCTTTCCGATCGAGAAATATTAATTCTCAAGAATGCTATACCGTTTCTACGAAAACTTGTTTTTTCCCCATAAAAAATACATGGAAAACTGTGAGTGCTTTGAGCGACCCCTGAATATTTTTTTGATTTCCAAATGAAAACTACTTTTTTCGGTATAGTACAATCCTAGAGGGTGAGGGTATTAAAATTCCGACTTTCTTTTTTTGGAGCTCCCCAATGTTTTGTAAAGCATTGTAATTGCTTTAACGAGTATTGTAAAGAGTTTTTACGGTATTAGCGAGTATTGTAAATTGTTTGTTGTACAATAAAGTTAATTGTACTACACTTTGGTCATCGTGAGCATTTATTTAACAATCCAGCGATACGAGCCGTAGGATTTGGGAAATCCCAGAAGGTTTCAAGGATAATCGTAACAATATATTAAGGAACCATCATAATATTAGGACTATTTTGGGATTTTAAAATTTTTGATATTTTCTTCCCCAACTTTGACTATCTTACTACTTACTGTTTCGAATAGAAAAAAGTTATAGCCGCTTTTGTGGGCAGAGGACTGAGACACGCTAAATGTATTTAATAGGTTTAAATTTAAGTTTCTCTTGTTACCGACTAATGACATGCTAAATAGTACCTGCTCCTGACATTATTTTATGTTACTTACCGGAATTTGGACTAGAGTCTATAACAAGGGCTATATCTATCAATTTTTTTTGTGAAGGATGGGTTTACCTGAAATAAAATATACATGAGTTGTTTGAAGAAAAATTTATTCATTTATTCATAAAATATGCTCAAATTGGCGACCTTCTACTCTAATACAAGCCCGGAACCTTTTAAGAAAATACGCTTTTACAGATTTTAAACTCAATTGGGCTATCTCAGCAGCAGCTCCATTTATTTCTTCCCTCAAATGCTCTTCGTTTTGAATTGTTTTTGAATAAATTTTGTCCTTAAGACAGCCCCAGTAGAAAAATTCTAATGGATTCAACCTGCCGATCGAGCGGGCCACGTGATTGGCCCGTATCGTCCAATCCATCGGCGAGGATAAGTTTCGTCTAAATAAGCTCTTACTTCACGCCCGTAGTGAGCAGGGCACCCGTCATTTTGCAGCCATAGTCTTCGCCGCAGGTTTAAGGGTACATCTGCTAACAGAGTTGGAAGCCGTTCCTGAAGGAACTCTAAATAACTGTAAGAGTTGAGCGTTGGCGGCAGTTCCACAGGTCCCAATATCTGACAATTAAAAATAACGCACCATAAATTTATTTTGTACCGGTACTGCGAACGATCTTCTCTCATTTCGTGAGGATTGTCTATCTGCCAACTGTGAAGGTTATGTAAATTAAAATAACCATCAAGTTTGCATGATGATTCATCGCTCCAAATTATTTTATTAAAAAAGTTGGGGTCTGATTCATGCATTCGCAACATTTCACGGCAAAATCTAACCCTCGACAGGTAATCTCTTTCTTGTAGAGCCTGAACACGTTGAATGTGGTAGGGATGAAATCGATGGTCTTTTAAAGCTTTGTGAACTGTAGTTTTTGGTATTCCCATCCGTCTTTCCATAATTCTCACTGAAGTCGATGGACCTAGTTCCACTTCCTCTAACACAACTTCAACATCTACCGTTGCAGGACGTCCTGTTTCGCCGCCACGGCTTCCAGGCATGCGACCTTAAAAAGGTGAAAAATGATAGTTAACAAACAAGCAAACAAGAAAGGTATAAAAATCACTTACCTTCATATATTTCTCTATGGGTCCGGGCGAATACTTCACACAGCGTGTTCTCTGTCATAGTATTAACCACACAATGTTCGAAGGGTACAATTTCACAAAATCCACTTTCACTAATTCCGGTAAGTAACATAAAATAATGTCAGGAGCAGGTAATAATGTACCTTTGTACTATTGAGCATATCATTGGTCGGTAATAAGAGGAACTTAAATTTAAATCTATTAAATACATTCTAGCGTGTCTCAGTCGCGATTTTTTTTAATACAAAAAAAAGGAAATATTTAAAAAACGGTAACACTTTTACCTGCAATTTTTTTGTTTGTCAGTGAGTGACTTTTAATGTACATTTGACAGCAAAAATCTATCTATGGTCAAAATAAGTACAATTTGAAATTTCGATTTTCCATCCCTGGTAAACACGCCGATGTTCTGGTTTTTCAACGCGAAATGGCCTTGACCCCATGCGCCTAATTAAGGGTTAAAGCAATGGGGTAATGGAAATATGATCACAATATGGGTGTCGGACGATTAAGCGGGTTTTGTTTTGAAAAAATATAATAGCTCTGATCCAATACTTTTCAAGAAAAATCCTGTAAAACTGTCAAACAGCAAAATTACTCTCTGAGGTGAGAGTAAAAAGTGAGTAACAACAAAATGTACGGGAACAAAAAAACCATTTTTCCTGTAAAAACGTCAACCAGTGATTGCTTGACACTTTTACGATTTTACCAGAAGAAAAAGTTCGGGTAAAATCTTGCAACTTCATTCTCTACACAACTCTCCAAAAGTCGCTCTCATTTACAGGATTTTGGAGTACGGGAACATTTTTCCTGCAACTTCCTGCAAGTTCATGTAAAATCCTGTAAGTTCATGGAGTACTGGATCAGAGCTACTCTAACATAAAAGCTGGTGCAGAAAATTGTGATCTAAGTTGCTCCAGTTCCACGAAGCGCAGGCTCATGAAACAAAAAGTAGAGTAAGTTAGAACAAGAAAAAATATCAGACACGTGCTGTAAATGAGAGCGACTTTTGGAGATTTTTCACGAAAAGTATTGGATCAATCAACTGTTTTGAGAATTTCTGCCTGAAAAGTGTTTCATGAGATTTATGATCTGAGTTGCTCTAACTTGCTCCTTTTTTTTTGACAGCTGTTCTTTTCTGCTCTAACTTGAGCTGCTCTGCACTTTTTTCGGTTTCATTAAACACAACTATTATTGCATCATGCGTTGTGCCGTCAATTTGATTGGCGAGCAGTATATCCCGTTATTCATTGCACAGTTTGAATCGCGAGAGTTCATGGCGCGCGTTTGGCCGGTATTGAACCGCATTATGCAATATAAAGACGAGGCCGCATCCGGCGCTCGGGGGCGATCTCTTCGAAGAACGTTGAACTCGTCCTGACTTTGAAGACTTAAGCTTGCATTGCCGCAACAAAGATTTTTTGTTGCCCCTTATGAAACTGACCTCAGCGATCTTACCCTGAAGCACGGTGCACCTGAACTGCAAGAGTTCTATTGAGTTGGTCTCGTGACTGTTAGATTAGATAACATTTGTTAGAGGCTGTGCACTGTGACCTTAGGTCTATAGTGCGTTCAGAGCTCATCATAACACAACGTTCAGGCCTAGTGCTAAATCCAAGCAGTTTCGAGGGTACTAGTATGCCAAGCCTCCGGCCGCAGGTGTGTTAGCGTTCTTCTCGCAACTGCACCGCATTCTAAGAGGGAATGTCCTTCGGTTTCTGGTGCAATACTGACACTTATCCCCAGGGTATGCATACAGGCCCGCAGTCTGGAGGGATGTGGGAGTACCGCCACACTGTCTGATCTGCTTGCGGTGCTGGTTGCGGATCTGGTGCTCCTGCCGTTGCTGTTATCTCCGGTGTTTGCATCGGTGTCGGTGTGACCGTTAGACGTCGGTTGTTGGGCTACCGCTAGCGTTGACGTTGCTGCCGGCGTTTCCACGACAAACTCTTGGGGAACTTGTATGCTGTTACAACACCAACAGCAACGTTGCTGCCGGGTTAATCGTTCTTGGACGGTGTTGGTGCTCCGCTCAATCCGGTAAGCGTAGAACCAACTATCTTGCGAACCACTATAAGTTAGTTCATTGTTTACTATCAGCATGCTACATAAAACGCGACAAAAATAAATGTACCGAGAAATCCTGGCTCAAAAATTCAATAATGGCCACATGTAATGATATCGGGTATTTCTTGGAATAAATTGGCTGCTGAGTAAAAATTACTGACTAAAAATAAAAATAATACCATCGTCTTAGTAACCAGTTTAGAAATTAAAGCTTAGACATGTACATGTATGTTTATGCTTTAATTTATACTTTAATCATCGGTAGCAATTTGAAAGCACAAACTCACTTAGGCAAAATAATATGCGCTTTGTGTTAGGAGTAAGACTACAACAAAATAAATACATTTATGTTATAAAGACTACATGTTCTTACAGGCTAAATATTCAGTTCATCGGCTTTTAGTTTTGAAGGCAATAAAATTATGCATGCCAAATTTAGTTTTTTTATTTACCCCAAAAAAATTAGTCAAACAAATATGTATTGTGGAAGGATATGACTATAAGGACAGACCTTGGTTGCAATGCATTTTATGCAATTAGCTTAGAGGTAAAAATTTTAAATAGCAAATCGCGGTAAGAACGCGTTTTTTAAACCCATAAATATGTACGTAATCAAAAAAATAATCTCTCGAAATAAGACCCTTTTTAAGTTAGTTATTTTTTAAACGCCGTTTGAACATGAAATTATTGTTAATTGCATTGCTTAAAATACTCCATCACAACACAGCATGTATCCTGTATGAACTAACCCCATTAAGAAATGCGTTTTGTGGCACTTAATTTACATATTAATTGCGGCATTAAGTTATGTATTAGCAGAAAAATTATAAACTAAACTTACTTTGCTTCGCAATGTACAATTCTAATTGGCTTCTCCACTCATATGTAGTTATGTAGTAATAAATCAAATATTCATGATTTATCTAATTTATTTCATTTTTGTAAATTTTTTTGCAAACTGATTGCTAACTTTAATTGCATTAAGATATTTTTTTTAACTTACATATGATTGCTAATGAGCAGAAAAGCCACAATGCATGTTATGCAAATAAGTTATTGTAGTTCATTGCATTACATTGGCAAGGGATTTTTTTTTTTTTTTTTGAATATTTAATTTTTTTAAAATACATTAGTGGTATTCTCTGAGTTTTGCAAAGCTCTTGCACGGCGCACAGATTGCACGGTAAAAATCAGTTTTCGTATGGGACAGCTTTGCAAACTGTGCAAGCGCTTTGGAAGATTTAGAGAATACTCCTATCGCAAATTTGTTGGGCTTTTTTTATTTAATATTAAAATCCAAATTTGCTCGATTTTTTATTGATAAATTATTTTAAATCTAATGTTTATTTGATTTGTTGTCAGTTTAAAATAGTGTATGTGATGGCCTTTACAAATGTTGCCTCTTTATTGCCTTATTATTTTTGTGAAGATGGCAATAAGAAAGTAACATTTTTCTGTAGAAGCGAAAACGACATTATTTAAAATCAAGCCAAAAATGGTGGATAATAAAATTTAGTAAAAAATATTTAACTCTTCAGCTAAACAAAATCGGCGAGCCTTTTGACAGAAAGGTATTTTCCAGCTATATTCAAGACATAAGATTTTGGTGTTTTGTTAAAGATTTTTCCTTATTATTTAAGATCCACCACTTAACCATCAAATCTACAACTCTCCATTCCATAGTCACGACCATGTTATAAGATAATTATGCCTTAGTAACTGTTTGATTTAATGAAAGAAATTTACAGATCTGAACTGCTTTTCAATTATTATGCGCTCCATTAACTACTAATTTTAGTCTATAGCCTTTATATCCATACATAAATGAATATGTACTTTAATTTGATGTATGCATATAATAGCATAAGTGTGCTCAAAAACGCAAATTTATTGAAAAACTTAGTAATGCAAACTGGTACAATAACTTTCTAAATGATTGCAATTTTATTGTTTATTTTTTTTTTATAGATAAACGAAATGGCGCTTCTCTGAGTACAATTTTTTGTGTTAGTATGTATTTGTTTTCGTCAAAATTTTATGTAATATTAGGGTAGCGATCACGGCATGTTACTTTTATCGTTGATTTATTTGTTAATTGTTTAGATAATGCCCCTACAAGCAATGATTATATTACTGCATGAAGGTATGTTTTTGTTTGTTCATATTTGAGTTTACTAATCTCTTCCGTAGCAAGGATGTGAGGGTTGCAATTGCGCATCCACATCCATATTGCTTGTTGATGGCTGAATGCTTACGCGAGAATCAATCTCTGAATCGTCCTCTGTGGTACGTGTCTGTTCTTCAGCCAAGGCTTTTTCTTTCTTAGTTTTCTTTTCTGTATTTTCACTCTCTGGTTCAATTCCTTCCTCGTTAGATCTGTCAACAGAAATAGCCGATTTAACATCTTCACTGGTAGATGAAATATCGTGCTCGTCGTCCTCATCATCCAGCTCTTCTTCAATTAGTTTACGCGCTAGTCTAACGGCTTCGAATTCATTGTAATGCGCCTTACGGCGGCGTTCGAATTCAAGCCGACGAACTGTAAGTAAATGAATGGAATTAATAAAAAACGTAATTTACTGATATATGTAAATACATATAATTAACTAATAGAAGCATTTTAGAATAAAAAGAAATTTTATCACTCCTACCACTAACTAACGAGACCAACAGGCCCCGTTCCCACGACAGTCGGGTCTACGTAACCGGAACGACCCAGATTTATATCTGGCCAAGGACTGTCACTCCAGCAACACTCCCCAAAAAGTCTTTGGGGAATTTGTATGCCGCTAGAACAATAACATCAGGGAATTATCTGTGTAGTTCGAATCGGATAGTAAATTTGTTCCAATTCGACCTATTGGTACTATAAAAGAACTAGGCGTTCGACTAGACCTTATTTTCGATTCGAGATACAGAGTAAGGGCCAAGATCTGGGTGTCAACTCTGTATCGAATCCCAATGATTTGCTTTTCGAATGAACTAGTAAAGTGAAGGAGCTCAAAGTTCAACATAATCGACTAGACAATTTTTTTTGTTTGTTTTGCAACCCATGCCATTTTTAGTACCTTTTTCTTCAGGTGTTTCATCAATGTTTTCTTCATCAGAAAGCTCCTCAGAACCAAATGAAGGCGATTGTGTGCTTGCTGCGATACGTAATCTGTAATCAATAAAGTTAAATTTAGAGCGTTTTATATTTTTCCGAAACGTTGATTTATACTTTTCTGCTAGTAAATTTGCGTCCAAAGTATCTGTGTGCGCTATATCTGGAATAACGTAGTTGTATGGCGTTTTTGGCTCATCAATTTTCATATGACCATAATCCTTATCAAGTGGATGGTAGGTTTGCAACACATTCAGTTCATCAAATTTCGCACTTTTGCGGTAACTGCAGTGAAAAAGAAGCAAAGAGAATGAAATGCAAAGGGCGCATTAGAGTGTATTACAAATTAATAGGATTATCTGATTGGATAATGACGTTGTCATTGACATTTACTAACCTGGCGGCGCCAGGCTTATCAAAACTGCTAGAATTCTTCAATATACCCTTACAAGGCTTCTTGGCATCGGGCGAGTCCTGCATTTTGCTGATGTCGTTGACTGGTTTTAATGCGTAGTCTATATGTATGAGAACTGTCCGTGTTGTTAAGGTAGAACTTTTTTAGAATATTTATTTCTTTTTTATTTCGATTCAATTCTTCGGGTGTCGCACTTATGGAGGCCGTTTATACTGAAGCTAAAAATAAACTGCAAAATCAAATTAATTGCAAAATTGCTTTGACTATGTAATCTATGCATTAAGGTGTGTATGAACGGGTGGGGTAGAGAGAGCGTTAAGTGTTTATTGCGGAACGTAGGTATGTGAAATGTTTGCAAACAAATTGATGTGTTACATGAAATGACGTGATTCATTAACAAATGTCACATTTTCTTTCACGCTTTGATCATGCTAAATATTTGATGATTTCATACAAAATATACTTAATTAATAGTTTTTTGACAAAGTACAAATCAACTTTCAAAATATCCTGCGCAAAGGTCTTGGGTAGGTAGTTAGCCTACTTCGTCAGCAGCCACGCCAGCTACACTGCTTTTCGTTAATATCAGGAACTTATATTTTTAATTTGTAACCTTTTACATACTTAAGTATGTACATATATTGTTCATGACTAAGCATATTTTTTTAATACTTTTAATTTTACTTTAAGACTCCCTTGAGTATAAAGCTTCCCGTTTCGAGACGATGGTTTGTCTAAAATCCGCTCCACCCTACCGTCTTGCGGCTTAATTTTCAGTCCTTTGTTGACTTCTTTGTCAATTTAGAGTAATACCTTGATTCTTATGCTTTATTAACAGTCACATAAGCGATTTTTGTTCTAACTTCACTTGAAAAATTTCACAAATATACATATCGTAGTTTTCGCAAAACAAAAAAAATATATAAATCTCCACACCTACGAACTTATTCGATTACGGAAGAACTTTCAGCGATTGCCTTTCTTTTGACAGTTGCATTTTTTTCACTAAACAAAACACAAAATAAGTGGTGCCATATTTGGACAGGGCGATTAAGGTGAGGAAATTGTTTTTTAGAATGATTCATTTTTATTATTGCAATCGATAGTTCGTCGATTGTTCTTTAGTATGTGTTTATATCCGGAAATTTTGTCGAAGCGATATCCTTATTCCCTTTCTTCCAACCGACGTTAGCACCCCATTTGTGAAAATATTAAGATTTTTGTATTGCAATCGATAGTTCGTCGATTGTTCTTTAATGTTCGTCCATTTTTGACGCTTGTTCGTTAGCCAAAAATTTATAATTAACTTTTCAATTTTCACTTTACGTAATACCTGAAGTTAGCACGCGCAACAGATTATTTTGGGTTAGTTGTTATTGCAACCGATAGTTCGTCGTTTGTTCTTCATTGTTCGTCCATTGTTAACGTTTGTTCCAAAGTCAAACATTTATAATTATTATTTACATTTGACAGTTCCTGCCTTTAGCAACCCAAATGTAAGAATTTCATTATTTTCATTTGTTAACTGTGATAAATCGTTTGTTCGTCGTTAGTTCGTCGTTTTCCCATCCCTAAAATTGAGCAAAAGCTGTTAATAAATTCATCATGTTTAAAGAATAGTTGGAATTGGGTCCGATGAGATAAAACAAAAGTAGGCGTGGCCCGCCCTCTTTTCCTGATTTTAACGGCATATTTTTTTTTGTGCAAATTATCAGGGGTTGCGCTAACATTTTTAAAAGCTTATATTTCGAAAACTATTGAACCGATTTATGATGACTATGGACACAGTTGAAAAAGTGATTGAAGGACCTTTCATTCGATATATATTTATGTATATAATGTATACATATTTTGAGAATAAGTACAAAAACCTAATTATGGCAATTTTTTTTTATAAAAATGTATGTTTTTCGTAAAAAAATACGTAATTAACTATATTAAAAAATATGATTATCAGAAAGAGCACAAAAATATCTTTAATTTGATGTATGACTTGCAACAAAAAATTCTTCTGCACATTATATTTGTTTAAGTATATATTAAAACATCGTTTTATATGAAAAAATGGAAATGGAATAAAAAATCCCGCGATGTTTTATTCCAAATTTTCATTTGCTGTATAGTAAACTATAATTTATTAAAAAACTTAAAAAAACGCCGCAGGTGTATATTAAAGTATGCTTTTATAAAAAAAAAAGGAAAAAAACACCGCAGGAGAAAAATTGGAATAAAAAATCGGAACAACGTCGTCTTCGTATAACTTATGTAAACTTTGAAACTTTTTTAAAGTATGCGGGAATCTTTACAATCCCCTTAAACTGCAAAACTTTGACGAAAATGATGATGATGACAATTAATATGATGAATTTATTAACGGCTTTTGCTCGATTTTAGGTATGAGAAAACGACGAACAAACGATTTATCACAGTTAACAAATGAAAATAATGAAATTCTAACATTTGGGGTGCTAAAGGCAGGAACCGTAAAATGTAAAATTTAATTATAAATGTTCGGCGTAGGAACAAACATTAAAAATGGACGAACAATGAAGAACCAACGACGAACTATCGATTGCAATAATAATTAACTCAAAATAATCTGTTGCGGGTGCTAACTTCAGGAGTTACGTAAAGTGAAAATTGAAAAATTAATTATAAATTATTGGCTAACAAACAAACGTTAAAACTGGACGAACATTAAAGAACAATCGACGAACTATCGTTTGCAATACAAAAATCTTATTATTTTCACAAATTGGGTGCTAACGTCGGTTGGGTTGAACGCAATGGTGCCACGCAGCGCAGTGTTACCCATGACTAATAGTGAAGGGTTGGCACCACTGATAAAACAATTGTCACAAAAACGAACAGTACTACTTTATGTATCAAATGTCAATTCCGGGGCTCTTGTGTTGTATTTGCGAAATTTTCATAGTATGTGCAATTTGAGTTACAAATTTAGAGTTATTTGGTTTTAGTTTCGGTGAAAAGTATAGTGCGTCCTTTTTTCAACTCTAATATTTGAAGGTGATACTGGGAAACATGTATTTTGCAAAAAAATAATTCGGATCACCAATATTACTGCGGTTTGTATTTGTTTGCTACCACCATCGTGCGAAAATGAAATTTTTCCATGATTGATCGGTTGTCTGGTTACGCCGGAATATTCATAACATTTAATATTTGTGTAGTTACTATCCGTTTCACGTTGCTAAATGGTTGACGAATAATACAAGAAACTATCAATAACTGCGCGTAAAGGTGAAGCTCGGGTATATAAATATGTATATATATTTGCATTAGCGAAATTCTCCCGAGTTTTCAATGAAATTGAAAAAGCGAACGAATATCTGAATTTATATGTTATGAGTGATTATATATATATTTGCAAAGGAGCTGGCGGCTAAATATGCCAAGTGCCAAACGACCGCCGTTTTCATTCTTTTGTAAATACCGTCGTTATATACTGTGCCGTTGTTGTCGTGGTCGTCTTTTATTATTGTCGCTTATTATTTTTCATTTAATTTTCTGTCTTTGTATAGGGAAGCCTCAGTCAGCTTTGCGGTCTGGCCTGGCGCAGAAGTGCCTTATTAAAGTTTAATCATAATAACTTTGATTACTCGAGCATTTATTTCGTGTGTTTTTGTGTAAACGCTAAGTTGGGTTGTGGAGGATGTAGTCTGCGTTTGGAAAAAGAAAACAAAAATGTGGAGTGATAGATACCAAGACTCGGAGTGTACATTTACATTAAGATGTTTAAAAATTATAAATACAATTACGGTAAATTTATAATTGTATTGCAGTTTCTAAAAAAAAGTACTATTAGTACTCTACTTTTGTATGTACATATTGTGTATACGTTTTTAAAGTGAAAATATTTCCAATTCACTATTTAAAATACAACATGGTTCATGTGCATATTCTTTTCAGATTAAACAATCCCTCAATATGTCCGTAGTTAAAAAGAAACTGATAAACATAATTTCAAATCAAATTTGAGCAATACATTGTGTGCGATTGTAAGAAACCGTTGAAATAATTACAAATTTAACTGGATGGTTATACCTAAATAAGATTTTCAAGTGAAATGAACATAAATTGCGGTCGAAATTCCCTTTCATTCACCAAAAAGCAAATTAATATTTGGATATACATACATACATACACCACATTGCATCAGATAAATAAGTGGAAAGTGTAATATCTGCAAAGTTTGTCGTATTACATTATGGCCTTGTTGAATAAACTATTTTTCCCAACGGCTAGTACATCGTCCCTGTCTTCGGTAGCATCATTGCCAACAACTACAACATCATCTGCTCCAGCATCAACGGGAGTGCGAGAAGTAATTTCGGGACAAGGAATTTCCGCAGTAAAAACTCTAGATCAAGTACTCTCACGAACACCCGATGCAATTAGTAGTGGAGTGGCAGCAATAACCGGCCGTCTCCCGAAAAATAACCAACCGGTGCATTCAAAAAATTATTTAAGGTACGTAAATTAAAAAAAATACTTCAAAGTTAAATAAGCAACTGTTTTATTTAGAAAAAATAGCAAATATGTATTTAATATCGAAACTTTCTACTATCGGGTGTAGGTGCATACATACATATCGTCGTTTAAAGTACAAAACCGCGTATGTGAGGTTGCACAAATTATTTTCTAGAGAGAAAAAATACTCACATTTCAAAATGGTTCTCTTTTTTATAAATCAATCGCATTTGTAGCTAATATATTTCAGGACGAATAGATAAGGCTTGAGCTAAGAGCTTGTGTGAGCAAATCCACTTTTTGGCAAAAAATTTCGGTTACGCGGTTTTGCAGAACGACGATACGCGGTTTTGTACTTTAAACGACGATATACATGTACGTAGGTATATATGTTTTTAGTAAGTTCTTTTATTCTACAATAAGCATTTGTATAAACATACATTGTGCATATGTATGTATGTACATCCATACATATACCATTTGTTTAAGCACATTTGTATGTGCGTATTTACATCAGTGTTGCCACATAATTTTTTAATTTTTTACTAAAATCACCGGAAGAAGTGACCAAGTATAACATAAAATTACCGAACTTATTTTATGTGCACAACTGTACAAACATAATATCGAGCCCTGAAAAATTATGTAAGCGACATTTTTTTCAATATTTTCTTTTTGATGCAGAAATATTCGTAAAAACATCGTAAAGATTTTTTGAAAAAAATGTCGCTTACATTATTTTGGCAGTTAGGGCTCGATATGTCTGTACATACATATGTATATCCGAAGATACCAAGCTTTTCAGGCAATCAGCGCTCCATTCACCTGCAATTTTTACGAAAGTTTGCTGATTTTTTTTTAAATATTGAACCAAGTTTGAAGTTTGAATTTATACGAGTTCTGTTAAATAAAAATAAATAAAAAATAATGTTTTTATAAAAATTAAATCGCAAAAAAAAAAACAACGGTAAAACGTGTCAAACTATGGCGCGGCTATAATTTTTTCGACCATTTATGTAAACAAGTGACAAGAAAATGCCCAGAACATAATTTCAGAGTTAAAAGCTCTTCCGAAAGGCCTCCTAAGAGTCAAGAGGCCTTCCACTCTACATTACTTTCTCCTTTCTTTTTTTTTATGGAGTGGCACCAGGGCTTCTTCTTTTATAGGACGTACCTCAGAAGGCCTTTTTTAGGAGTTCTTTTAAAGTCGCTTATTTAATTTATAAAAATTATACATCCTTGAAGTATTTGCTTAAATATACATAGCGAAAGCCACTTTCAAGCAGTTTGTTATAGATCACACCATTCTAAATAGTAACCAAGGAACGCTGGAACAACTTCCGCCTTGCGAACCTTTCAGACATATGTATAAAAGCAAACGCTTACGGGCCACTTACTAATGTGGAATCAAAACCTATATTGACCTATTTGATATGTAGGACCGAATCGAAAAAGTTACCAATTTGAAAAATAAATTAC